TCCTTCCCTCGCCGTGAAGTCTACATTAAAAACCGCCATACAATAGCGTGCACGGGACTGATCAAACATAGTTTTACAGAGTCTATTTAACGTCAAGGGCGTAGTATTCGAGATTAGAGAACTAGAGCGCCTTCCGCAAACCCTTAAAGCAACTCTTCCATTGTTATTGCCCCGAGAGGCCGCTAAAGGTAACGGTTGGTTGGCGTTCGGTTGCATTCGGTCAGTCTTCTGGCACCGGGCTGATTGGAATTATTGTCCAAAGGCCTGGTCAGTAATAATCGATGACTGCCTGTTCTCTGGCGTCATGGGGCAGGTGGTTGTAAGAGAGGGCCGACGGGGCGATGAGAGGGTAGTTGGTGGAGAGGGCGGGGGAGGAGGGAGGACGAACGGTTATTTAATCAGATCTGGAATGTCTAAAACGCCTGCAAACTACTGAGCACCCCTATAGTACAGACAAATGCTTGCACGTTCGCGCGCGTGCACAAACACACACACACACACATACACACACGCACACTCACACGCACGCACGCACGCACGCACGCACGCACGCACACACACACACACACACATATACTCACACACACGCATATGAATTTTACACATACAAAAGTATATATATATAAACAATATAGCAACCTTATAGGTAGATAGATTGACAAGATGAGCAGATAGACGGGAAAGGGGCAAGGGCGTGCAGTGTGCAAGCAGATTGGCCACACTTAGAGGAATAAAAACAGATCGGGAATTCAACGCAGAGGCCTGGACATTGAGAGACAAGAAGTCAGACAGACACACATATACGTACATCGACAGGCAGATTGGCATTCATGCAGGCAGGCAGGCAGACAGACAGACAAACAGTCAGTCAATCGGACAAAAGAGATAGATAGAATGAGTAGAGGGCGCTTCTAGATCAATTGAAGCCCTTTCGCTGACAGTACAATCAGGATACTAGAAGACGGAAACACGATTTACAGAAGTGCAGGTCATAAATAATAATCATGAGTACTTGTACATGCTCCCAAATTTCTTCTCAAGTGTCAGAAGCGCATCAAACACAGGCAACGGCAAAGATACAATACCTTGGGACGAGCAATTTCGTTCAATATCTAGTAGAGTACACAGTCTGCTGGAATATTTCGTTAAGGCATTCGTATTTATCCGTGATACCATTATATTCTAGTCGTGTGCAAGATAGCCTTATGGTTTAAGTAGGTCAGTTTTATAAAATGTCTAAAGCAGGGTGTTGTCTGTTTAGCTGTCCCTTTATTGACTGTTAAAATTATGGTGTATGGCTCAGAGATGTGGAAAACAAAGAAAGCAGTTCAACTGAAATTGAACAGCTTTCAAACAATATGTTTAAGAAAAAGAATTCTATTAATAAAATGGAGTGAATTTATGAGAAATAATCAAGACTTGGAAAAAGCTGGAAAGATATTTTTTGGTAAGTGTTTTACGGCGCTCGAAACTAATTGAAGACATTAACATGCCCATAAAAAGAAGATAGAGATAGGACATGTTTTCAGAATATCAGAGACAAGATTGCTCTATCAGACAAGATTTTGGAGACCAACTCGGAAAAGAAGAAGAGGTAGACCAACTAGAAGTTACAGAAGTGCAATCAGGAATGAGGCAATCACCAAGGGACGAAATGTGCAAAGATTAGAGGAGGTTGCCACGAACAGGCAAGCATGGCGTCTGCTGCACTCGCCTTATGCATCACCTGACAATAATATAGAGAGAGGGTGAGTGAGTGAGTGAGTGAGTGAATGAGTGAGTGAATGAGTGAGTGAGTGAATGAGTGAGTGAGTTGGGGTAGATCAACGTAATATGTCCACACTCTGCCATCTCTGCAGGTTTCTACTGTTAACGAGGTGGGCCCACAGCCCCCCGCCGCCTGCAGCGCCTGTACCCAGAGACCGGAGTTAATTAACACAGTAATTCTCCCCGCCTCATTGATCACATGGCACGGCTTACACTAATAAGCCCTTTCGGAGACTTCCGGTGCACATATCATGGACGTTCATGCATGCGTGGGTTCCCGTGAACCGCTGCGCATGGGTTGGCGGAGAACAGCTGTTGCAGGAACAATGTTGTCGTACTGGACAATGGCTACTCCCTGTTTGACTCATAAATCTACACCTAACACAAGCCTACAATCAAAATGTTCTATCTGCACTGTGTTATGTGTTGTTGCAGACAGACCTTGGTAATAACGATTAAAGGCAGCAAAAAGAGTCATTTAAACCAAATGCAGCCCGTTACCCCAAATTATGTCAGAATAATTCCCAAAATTCAAGTATACTTTTAATAATTGCACTCCTCAAAAAGGGTGTGTATTTGCAGAAACAAGAAAACAACACCGTTCATCAAAAGTGACTGCGTTATCTTGTAGAAGCAGCCATGGCCTTGAACTTGTCCAACCAAAAATCACATGGTGCAGAGAAAAAGAACTCCCAAAACGGTGAAAACAGTTGAAGTAGAGGCATTATACTTGAGTTTTTGAAACAGGTATGTTGATCTAAAATAGAGAAAAGGGTTGGGGGGGGGGGTACAAAAAGCCTTTCTATTCTTCTAATAAAACCTCGTTGTTCAAACAACCAAAATCAGATTAACTAGTGGTAGCTTGGGAAAGGTAGCTTGGGAAAGGGAGAAAAAAAACTGAGGCGATGTTCTGTTACTTTGAACAAGGTACTCTCTTACGGAACACCTGTAAAGACTGGCAGACAGCACAAGATCATCTGGACTGGCCGAGACAATCCAACCGGGGATAGCAGGATGGTGACGAAGAGATAAACAGAAGAAACAATGTTTAGCAATACCAAAGAGTGGACTGGCCGTGACTGGAACATCCTACTACCTAACTACGGACAGCTGAGAACCGATATGAGTGGGTGAAGCTGGTTTCAAAATCAGCAGTGGCGCCCCAACAGTCATCCAGAATGCTGGTTCGGTGAAGGTGAAGACAATTTAAAAACATACAATCAAAACCTCAAAAGCAGCTGGAAAGTTATACTTGCAATCTGCATGAACCATTATACTTTCAGTTGTTATAAAATAAATTGGACATCTTGGGTACTATAATAGAGATAAGTAAACATTCTCCGTGTCAAACTATATTCCAGATACAACTGTACTGCTGCACTCAAGCAGGTCATGAAATCCCTCTGGGCTCATAGAAATTAAAATATTTTAAAGGAACGAATTGGTTCTCTACCTGAGAACTGGCAACATTTCTTGTAAAACAACTGTTCTCTGCTCCTTAGAAATGCCACCGTTTTACAGGTCACCTCATGCAAGTTTCGAGGACAAGACATCATTTCATAGGAACTTTTCAGCACTCACACCAACAAAGAGCCATCATCTCATAAGATACTATCTGACTCGAGTACTTTTTTTTAAATTGTGAAACATCACGGGCCGTTGAATTTGACTTTGGTTGGGGTGACATACTCATTCTTGACATAAACACGGTTAAAAGTTCAGATCATTAAACGTGAGATCAATTATTGTGCACATAACCCAAACGTATACTTTGTTGTTATCATAGCAATAAAAAAATAAGGCTAAAAAGCTCTCCAGTCATTGTGGCGCAGTCGACCAGGGAGTTAACCAACACTCAGAGTCAGAGCTCCGATACCTGTGCCCTGCGACTTGCGTTAGCCCCAGCTAAACTAAGTAAAGTTTTGTTAGTTTTAGTAGAGGTTTTACGGCGCTCGCAAGTGCATAAGGTCATATGAGCGCCAGAAAATTAGAGGTATTACAAGAGAGTAACAAACATAAAAAAGAAGAAAGGAAGATAAGGACGATAGATGTTTGATAGGAAAGAAGAAGCAAACCACACCAGAGCACCCGCCAACCACTCACAAACCATGAAAAGTTATACACCCAGCCCGTCTCAATTGGCGAACAGGATCATTGTTAAAGACGAAAAGATAATTGAGAGAACTACTCACCAGCTCTTGTGAGGCCAGCTCCGTGGTTTCAATACAATCCGAGGCGTTGTCATAGCAATAGTCGAAGGTGAAGGACTTGACCCGCTCTCGGTGATCGCCGAACTCCGGCTGGCCCTCCGCCTGGGGACAGGGGAAGACGTCCAGTAATGGTGTGGTGTAGAGTGAGATGGAATGGTACAGTTGAATAACAGGGCAAGACGTCGAGCAGAAGTATGGTATTGTGTGAGATAGAAAAGCACAGTTAGGTACCAGGGTAAGACGTCCAGTAATGGTAAGGTGAAGTGTGGGGGTACAGTTAATTACCAGGGGAAGATGTCCAGTAATGATATGATATAGTGTGGGATGGAATGGTACAGTTAGGTACAGTAATGGTGTGGTATAGAGCGGGGTGGAATGATACGGTTAGGTATCAGAGTAAAGACGTACATAAATGGTATAGTATAGAGTGGGGGTGGAATGGTACAGTTAATTACCTGGGTAAGACCTTGAGTAATGGTATGGTATAGAATGAGATGGAATGGTACAGTTGAATAACAGTGCAAGACGTCGAGCAAAGATATGGTATAGTGTGAGATAGAAAAGTACACTTAGGTACCAGGGTAAGACGTAGAGTAAAGGTATGGTATAATGGTATAGAGCTTGGTGGAATGGTACAGTTAAGTACCAGAGTAAGACGTACAGTAATGGTAGGGTATGTAGTGAGATGGAAAAGTACAGTTTTTTTGTTTGTTTTTTCCGTGTCCTGATTTTGTTGCCCGTTTTTTGTTGGTTACGTAAAAAGAAAGTAATGGTGCAGATTGTTATGAAAGGGGAATTGTTGAGTCGGTAATGATGATGGTGATGATGATGATGATGATGATGATGATGATGATGATGTTGTTGGCGATGGTGACGGTAATGGAAATTGTGATGGTGAGCATGAGGATGATTATTTATGTTGGCGATGATGATGTTCTGATGTAGGAGATGACGTGCGTATTAGTCTTAGTGTTAAGTTTGTTTGGTGCTTACTGGAAAAGTACAGTTTAATACCAGGGTAAGACGTCGAGTCATGGTATGGTATAGAGTGGGATGGAATGGTACAGTTAATTAACAAATAAATAAAGACGTCGAGCAAAGGTATGGTATAGTGTGAGATAGAAAAGTACAGTCAGGTACCAGGGTAAGACGTTCAGTAATGGTATGGTGTAGAATGGGGTGGAATGGTACAGTTAGATACAGTATTGTAAAATGTGGTATGGAATACGGCACAGTATGCTAAAGTAATAATATATGGTTGGATTTTATATGGTGTGATAATACATGTATATAACATAACATGGTACGGTATGGTATGGCATGGCATGGCATGGCATGGCATGGCATGGTATAGTATGGTATGGTATGGTATGGTATTATATGGAGTTGTATTGTATGGTACGGTATGGTATGGCATGGTATTGTATGGACACAGAAGAATGGCGTGAAGTCATCAAAAAAGAATCTGAATCGCATGACAAGGTTGGCGGCCTATCTTTACGCAAGCAGACAAGGAATTAAGAGCTTTCTCTTCCTTGAACTATCTGTAACAAAAGACTTTAATATATTTTTTCCAGTCCAAATAACGCAGCTCTCCCGCAGCGCTATTTTCTTGCCAAACGCAAGTTGACAAATAAGTCCCGAAACTGCAAACTGCCAGCTATATGTGCCAACGTAACAACATGCGGCTTATCGGTTTGGTCTAGACACATTTCAGTTAAAATGAATACTTAATCACGCAATTGTTTACCACATTCGATGCCACTTTCGGTAGATAACAGACTGTCTGTTTGACAGAGGAATAAGATGGAATTTCCAAAATACACACTGGTGTTACAAAACAGCTCAAATGACGCCACCAAAAGAGAGATTAACATTCCAGTTATCTTTCTACATTCTGACAACACATAGTTGTATTGTATCAATCATACATGGATCTTCCTTGACCAGCGAATTCAAACTAAAATTACCCCGGGGACTTTTATATTATCATTAATATCATCATTATGAATATCATCACCATCATAATGATAATAATAATTATAATAATAAT